ACTCTCTCTCTCTTTCACTGGTCCAATTAAAATAATAATAAATAAAATGAAATAAACTAATAACAATTAAGAATAAATAAAATTAAATAAATAATTCTCTCAGGGAGTGGAGGAGAAAAGAAAATGCCAGATAGGCAAGGGTATGCAGAGAAAAGGTAAGTCTTCTCTCCATCCTTACCCCTTGTTCTCTTCTGCTTAGGGTGATATATGATACCATTTATCATAGAGCCTTCTAGAAATTTCCTACACTTTTTGTACTGGGGCTACACATTCGTAACTTTTTTTCCCTTGACTTAGCTGTGTGGCCCACAGTACGTAACTCAAATGTGAAATTCCTTACCCATAAAGTGGAGTGGTTCTGTACATTTAATGAAACTAGGATGTTATAATTAAAGACTGCACAGGGGCCAGCAGGTGGCATGGTGGCTAAGGTGTTGGACTCCCACATGGCCGACCATGGTTCTAGTCTCAAACCCCAAAGGCTTGAAAATCATGCCAGGCAAGCATGTGTGCATGCCGAGAATCCCAGGAGGAGAATGGAAGAGAAGGGATTGTACCACGGCCATTCCCACTTGTGGGGGGCGATTTCTCATTTTCCGTCTCTCTGTTTCTCTCCAGAGAGTGCATGCACCCTATGGCAAAATGATTAATTGAAAAGTTAAACACTATACAGTATGAGGTGGTGTTCTTCTTGAAAGGAAACACAAAGCTGTGGCATGGTGGTTAGGGCACTGGACTCCCACATGGCTGACTGTGGTTTGAGTCCCAAACCTGGTGGCTTGCTTTCTTGCTCTCCCTCTCTCTCTCTGGTCAAACCAAGTAATAATAATAATAATAATGAATAAATTAAATAGTAAAGAAATAATTCTTTAGAAAGGAAACACGGAGCCTTCGCAAATGTACTTCTAACTCGTATTTAGCACAGAGGGCCCTTGGACCCTAGAATCAGCCCTAGGCTGGACGGCTCTGGGTCCCACTGGAAGTATGCTTCCCCTCCTCTTGACACCAGCAGGAGAGGAAGCTGGAGCCACACGCCTGACCCAGCGTTGGTCCGCCCCACAGGTGATCACGTACTCCAGCCGCCATGTCTACAACAACCTGACCGAGGAACAGAAGGGCCGCGTGGCCTTCGCTTCCAACTTTCTGGCAGGGGACGCCTCCCTGCAGATTGAGCCTCTGAAGCCCAGCGACGAGGGCCGGTACACCTGCAAGGTGAAGAACTCGGGGCGCTACGTGTGGAGCCACGTCGTCCTGAAGGTCTTAGGTAAGCAGGGGCGCCCGGGCCACTGCCCTCGCTGTCTCTGGGAGGCCAGCCTCATGCTTGCCACTTGTGTTACCCAGGCCCGGTGCCTTGGGAGGACATGGACATGTTCCCGGAAAGAGAAGGTACACATTTTTTCATGGTTGTGTATTCCAAAATTTAAACATGCTCTAATTAAAAATATGAATGGCTGACTGAAGTTTGAGTCCCAGACCTGGTGGCTTGAAAAATCACACCAGGTGCATGTGCATGTGTGCCCAAAACCCCAGAAGGAGACTGGAGGAGAAGAGATTGTGGTGTGGCCATCCCCCTGGGGGGTGATTTCTCACTTTCTGTTTCTCTGTCTTTCTGTCTCTCTCTGTCTCTCTGGTGAGCGCACATGCCATACAACAACAACAAAAAACTCTCTTAAAAAAAAAAATTAAAATGTGTGTGTGTGGGACCAGCAGTTAGGGTAATGGCTATGTCACTGGACTCCCTTGTAGTCAACTGCAGTTCGTGTCCTGGATCCAGTGGCTTAAACTCACGCCAGGCATGTGTGCGTGCGTGCCTAAGATCCAGAGAGGAGAATGGAAGAGAATGGATTGAGGCGTGGCCATCCTCCCTGGTGGGTGATTTCTCGCATTCTGTCTCCCTGTCTCTCTCTGTCTTTCTGGCGAGTGCACACACCCTATAGCAAAAACCTCTCAAAAAAAAGAAACTTTATTACATGTGTGTGTGTGTGTGTGTGTGTGTGTGTGTGTGTATGCAATTAGTACTAATTAAGATATTACTAACTCAAACAAGAGGAAAAAGGGAAACAAAACCAACATATTCAACTACATTAAACTTTTAAACCTAGACAATAAAATATTTGATATGCAAATTAAGAGAAGTCATGTAACTGACAAAATATTAGAATCTAGGAAGTAGAACACCTACAAGTCAGTTTTAAAAGATGAGTAATAGAAAGATTAGCCAAACTGTGTAAGCAAGCGTCATAAACATGAAAATATGCTATAAGAGGCCAAAACATACACCCAAAAATACTCTTCTTCAGCACATTTTAGAATGACTATATAGAGGTGATGCAAAGGATCAGCTCTACAAAATTATCCTTTCGTAACAGAAATTTACATCCATTTACACCAGGAAAGTAAGCAGCGGATACAAGCATTTCAATGACCACTCCTTATCTGCCTAGGAAAAATTGGATCACAGGAAGAAGAGGATTAGAAGTCTGACACCTGACCCAGAAAAACAAGATACTCTGTCTTCGCCCCTGCAGGTTGCCCCAATTAGACTACCCAGTGAGTCCGTCGCCCTAATAGGAATTGGGGCATTGACCAAAAACGCTTGCTTAGGTCTTTTTGATAAGAGAAAAGTCTACGAATCATCCCTGTGTACTTCCCTCAGGCCTCAAGGAAGGAAGATGGCAAATTGCCTCGCCCTCCTGGTGCCCCAAGCTAGATGAGCCTTTCGCTTTTCTCTTAGGGCTGCCCGCTCACAACTAACTGCCTACCACAGTCCCTCTGTTTTTGGTTTTTTGGTTTTTTGTTTTTTGTTTTTTTGTTTTTTGTTTTAGAGGACAGCAAGAGCTACAGTAAGTTCTACATAATTGCTTCCAATGAATGAACTTCTACCCATTTTAGTGTCAGTAAAAGTGATACTCCAGTTTTCCTAAAACTTCCAGTATGTGTCTCTTCATGGGACAGTGATCAGGCAGTTTCTGAAGCAACCACTGACAAACGACAACAAGTACCCCTGACAAACAGCAGTGCCCCTGACAGACGACAGCAGTACCCCTGACAAGCGACAGCAGTACCCCTGCTGGAGGCTGGCACTGTGTGTGTGCGTGCGTGTGCGTGTGCAGGGCAGAGACGGGTGTGCTGTAAAGCACGGTAGTTGACACTAGGCGCGGCTGAGGACGTGGCTGTAGGACAGTTTCCCGTGAACCTGGCGTCGGGATCCGTAACCGTCCTCTCCGTTCTCCCATGTGCCAGTGAGGCCGTCCAAGCCCAAGTGCGAGCTGGAGGGAGAGCCGACGGAGGGGAGTGACCTGGCTCTGCAGTGCGAGTCGTCCTCGGGCACACAGCCCATCGCGTACTCCTGGCAGCGCGTCCGTGAGAAGGAGGGCGAGGACGAACGCCTGCCCCCCAGGTCCAAGATCGGTAAGTCTCCGTCCCCATGTGCTGAGCCAGCTGGGCAGCGCTCTGTCTGCCGGCTCTACGTCAGCTCTGTCAGCAGCTCCCTGTGTGACCTTGAATGCACTGCTGAACGTTCTGGACTTTTATTTATTAAAATTTGACCACAGAGGGACAGAGTGAGAAAGAGAGGCAAAGCGAGAGAGCAAGCCACCAGGTCTGGGACTCGAACCACAGTTGGCCATGTGGGAATCCAGCACCCTTAACCACCACGCCACCTGCTGGCCCCTGGACTTCCATTTTTTGACCCATAAAGTATGACAGAAAATTTCTTCTCTTTCTGTAAGTGGCATGCACAAATGGTTACGAAAAAGAGATTAGGAAGAAATATACTATCTATATCTGTTATATTTCATTATTCTCGATGAACCCTTAAATATTCATCTTTTTTTTCAATTGCCAGAGGGCTCATTGCTCACCTGAGAGAGAGAGAGAGATGGAGGTGGGGTGACGAAGCACCCCACAATGGGGTACAGTCATGCCACAATCCCTTCTCCATTTCTCCATCTTCTTGGGATTTGGGACACGTATGAATACTTGCCATGTTTTTCAAGCCACTGGGGCTGGGATTCAAACCATGGTCAGTGAGGGATCCACCTTCCTTAACTGCCCAGCTGTGGGGCCAGCCCAGTGTTCAGCCTTTGGAACCTTCGAGGATGCCCTGGGAAAGAACTTTTCTTCCCGTGTCCCCTCCTCAGCAGACTGTCCTAGCGAGTCTAGGTCCACAGTGCAGTAAACACCAGCTACAGACGTCATCTCTAAGGGCCCCTCTCTTCTTTCTGCTCATGTAGACTACAACAATCCCGGCCGCGTCCTGCTGCAGAACCTCACCATGTCCTCTTCCGGGCTCTACCAATGCACGGCAGGCAACGAGGCTGGGAAGGAGACCTGTGTGGTGCGAGTGACCGTGCAGTGTGAGTACCCAAAGCCACTTGTTACTATCTCTTAAAGTGTCTGTTGCTCTGATAGAAAGACACACATACATACAGATCACCCCACAAGGGTTCTGACACTGTGATCCACCCTGGGCTTCAGCTAGCCTCGGGTCATTGGGCACACACGTACCTGGCCTACTCAAGGAGGTCTGTGGACTTGAACTGAGAACCTTCCCACATGGGGTTGCTTCACAGAGCATCGTGCTTTTTTGCTATGTCACTGTCTGACCCATTCATTTTTTGCATTGTGGTTGAGTGTTAGACTTGAAAAATTTGGCAGGGGCGCTTTTTTTGCTATTGGGAACATACGCTCATCAGATAGACAGAGACAGAAAGTGAGAAACCACTCCCCAGGGGGATCACCACACTGGAATCTTCTCTCCTCCATTCTCCTCTCAGGATTTTAGGCATGCATGCACACGCACCCTGAGTGAGTTTGAAACTGCTGGTCTGGGACTTGAACTGCGGTCAACTACGAGGGAGTCCAGTGATGTAACTATTACACCATCTGCTGGTCCTGTCCAGTGTTAGACATTTTACTGATGAGTAAGGAGAAGGTGATGGCTTCAAAAGAGGATATGGCTGGGACCAGCAGTTAGCGTAATGGCTATGTCGCTGGACTCCCATGTAGTCGACCGCAATTCGTGTCCTGGACCTGGTGGCTTAAAACTCACGCCGGGCGTGTGTGCGTGCGTGCCCAAGATCCCGAGAGGAGAATGGAGGAGAAGGGATTGCGGCGTGACCATCCCCCATGGGGGGTGATTTCTCGCTTTCTGTCTCTCTGTCTCTTTCTGTCTGGCTGGCGAGCACACGCGCCCTATAGTGAAAACCTCTAAAAACAAAACAAAACAAAACAACAAAAAAAAGAGGATGTGGTGTTACCAAAATCGAATCAATAGTTGTGAGGACCAATTCACAGTTCTAGCTCATTCTGTACCTACGAGTGAATTAATCAGCCCCCTACAAGTGACTATGCCCAAGAGGAGATCAAATAAATACCAGTCTAAAAAAAAACAAAACCAAGGAGCCAGCAGATGGTTTTGCAGTTATGTTGTGGACTCTCACATGGCCAACCGCAGTTCGAGTCCCAGATCTAGTGACTTGAAGCTCAGGCTGGGCACATGCGCATGTGTGTCTAAAATCCCAAGAGGAGAATGGAGGAGAAGGGATTGCAGTGTGGCCATCCCCCTTGGAGGGTAATTTCTCACTTTCCCCCTCACTGTGTCTGTCCCTCTGCCAGGCACATGTGCCCTAAGGCAAAACTTCTACCAAAAAAATGAACCAAACAAAAAACTAGCCAGCTAGTCCTCTGTCACCTCCCATCCTGGGCAAGTAGATGAGGACCCCCCCCCCCCGAGTGTTCGTGAGTGCACGTGTTTGTGTGTGTGTGATGAGAGAGAGCAGCAAGCCGACTAAGCACATTAGCTCTGGAACCAGAAGGTCATCTCCACCGTGCTAGTATGTACTGATAACCATGCAGTGCCGTGGGCGCATTCCTTAACCTCCCCATGTGTTCTCATGTAACAGTAACTGCCTCACAGAGATGTTGTGAACGTTAAGTAGGGCCGGCCTCACGGTCCAGTAATTAAGGGAAATGAATCTCACACGGTTGACTACGGATTGAATGCCAGCCCGGCAGTTTGAAATACACACTGGGCCCGTGTGCACACACCCAAATCCCCACAGAATAGAGAAACGGGAGAGAAGGGATTGTGGCACAACCATATCTCCACGGAGAGGTGCTTTCTCCCTCCCTTTCTCTGTTTCTCTGTCTCTCCCTGCGGAGTAAACATATCCTCTGGCAATTTTTAAGAAAGAAAATGAAGTAAATTAATATATTCAGTTACCACTCCCTAGAAACAGCCTGTGTTCAGTAGTGTCTGTTCAATAGCATTCACTATTATCATTATTATTAATTTTCCCAATCCATGGGGGTCATTGTAGACTTTTGAACTTTGGCTCATGTTCTCGAGCCATGCTTACCAGTGTTAGAATGCATTTAGTGTAATAAACAGTAGGCCAGGATCATCATTTTTTAGGAAAGGTAAAAGTTTGAAGGGGAAAAATACAAGGTAAACCAGGTTAGAAGACAGAGTTGCTGTGGCTCACCTTCGCCCTCGCTACTTGGGAGGCTGAGGCGGGAGGGTATGGAAGTTCAAGGGCAGCCTAAATAAATAGCACAGTAAGGTGAGCTCTTAAAAAAAAAAAAAAAAAAAAAAAGTGGAGGATTAAAAAAAAAAAAAAAAAAAAAAAAAAAAAGGCGGAACCAGCAGCTGGCAAAATGGCTATGTCGCTGGACTCCCATGTAGTTGACCATAGTCCTGGACCCGGTGGCTTAAACTCACACTGGGCACGTGTACATGCATGCCCAAGATCCTGAGAGAAGAATGGAGGAGAAGGGATTGTGGTGTGACCATCCTCCCTAAGGGGTGATTTCTCACTTTCTGACTCTCTCTGTCTTCCTGGAGAGTGCACGGGCCCTATAGCAAAAACATCTCAAAAAAAATTAATTAATTAAAAAATTAAAATAAAAAAGAGAGAGTATGTATCTATTACTCATTTCTATGATCTATTTCTATGTAACAAATTACCCCCCAAGTTAGTGACTGGAAACGACCTTTATTCTGTTAGCTTCTGTGAGGGGAAAGCGTGGCAGAGCTGGGAGGTCTGGCTCAGGGTCCTTCCTCTGGAGAGCGTGAGCAGGTGTCAGCTAGCACAGTGGTCACGTCAGGCTCACCAGTGCTGCAGGGGCGGCTCTGAGGAGGGGCCAGGCATGCCGCAGCTGGTGGCATCCAGCCTCTACAGAAGGCTCTGGACAGATCTGCGGCTTCCTGCGGAGTGAACAATCTCAGATATGGAGGGACAAAGAAGGAAGACCTGAGGTCTTACAGATCTGAGATCTAAGAGAAAGGGCTGCAGTGCCTTCACATGGTGAAGCCTTGGCTGCTACATGCCGCTGTGACATGCCACTGCATCTGCTGTGTTCTGTTTATTAGAAGTGAGACCCAGGGCTGGCAGAAAGCGGGGTGCTTAAGGGCGCTGGACTCCCACATAGCCAACCACGGTTCGGGTCCCAGACCTGGTGGCTTTCTCTCTCTTTCTCGCTCTATCCTCTCTGGTCAAATTGAAATCAATAAATAGATAGATAAATAAAAGTAAATAAAATACTTCTTTAAAAAAATAAAAAAGAAGTGAGTCTTAAAGTCCAGATCACACTCAAAGGGAGAGGTAGCAAACTCTTTGCGGGCATGTTTTTCAAATTACCAAAGTGCAAAGTTGAATAACCAAAGTATAGGAATACATACTAAAGAACTCTTCCAAATAATCAGTAAGAAACAGCCCAGCCAAACGGGCATAAGATGGTGTTGAATAATTTTGAATAATTTTTCAACAAGTAAAATCTTGACTGTGACAAATTTAAGATTTTGTTGAGTTCATTATTGAACGAGGGAGCGAGCAGGGTATTCAAGCAGGTCCAAAGAGCATTTGAGAAGGTACAGATACACAGATAATTTAACAAACTTAGGATTGCTGGATTAGACATCAAGCCGGTTAATGTCTTATAAACTCACAGACTGATTCACAGGCTGACTCGTAGGGTTAGCCATTTAACGGGAGCAGCTGTTTCCATCTCTCGTGGATAGAAGGCTACAAGTTGTCCCTGTGGAACTGTAAATTGCCAAGCTCTGTATTTCTTTTGCCTATTTTCAAGTTTCAGATTTTTTTTTCTTTTTACAAATGTTGCAGTCAGTTCACAGAAAAAGAAATACAAATGGCCAATAACAAATATTAGAGACCTCAAAAACACTACACTTTTTAAGCTATCCGATCAGTAAAGTTAAAAACTGGCATACAGGAGGCCAGTCAGTGGTGTGGAGGTTAAGGCCCTGGATCCCACGTAGCCGACTGTGTGGTTCAAGTCTTGGACTGGCAGCTTGGAAATCGCACCGGGTATGCATCTCTGTGCCCCAACTCCAGAAAGCAGACAGGAGAAGGCACAGTGGCATGGCCATCCCTCCTAGAGGGTGGCCCTTTCCCCCTCCTGCCCCCCCTTCTGAGAGATTTAGTGATATAGAGCGTGTGTGCTCTCTGGAGAGACAGAAAGTGAGAAATGGTCCCTCGGGGGGAGGGCCACACTGCAGTCCCTTCTCTGTTCTCCTTTCGGGATTTGGGCATGCAAGCACACGCATCTGCCATGAGTTTAAGCCGCCAGGCCCAGGACTGGAACTGCAGAACTGCAGCCGACTACACGGGAGTCTAGTGATGTAACCTCTGCTGGTCTCTCTCTCTCTCTGTCTCTCTGGTAAGTGCACACACTCTATAGCAAAAACCTTAAAAAACTAAAGTCCCAGGCAGGCTCTGGAGGACAGCAGTCGAGTGCTGTGTCCTGGATGGCAGATCCCACGTCCCTACTACAGTGTGGGTCCCAGCCCAGGAAGCTTGAAGACCATGGTGTGTGTGTGTGTGTGTGTGTGTGTGTGCACGCGTGTGCGCCCACATCCTAACAGGGCGAAGAGACAGCGAGGGCTGGGCCCTGACCAAGTCCCACAGGAGGATGTGCTCTCTCTCCCTGTCTCTGGCGAGCATGTGTGTCCTCTAGCAATACGAAAAATATAGTGTAATGCCAGGACCAACAGGGGCGTGGTGGTTAAGATGCTGGACACTCCTACATGGCCGACTGCGGTTCGAGTACCGGACCTGGTGGCTTGCTTTCTCACTTTTCCTCTCTCTCTCTCTGGTCAAATTAAAATAAATGAATGAATACATAACATTAAATAAATTATTATTTTTTATAAATATAGTGTAATGCCAACTGTTAGAAAAGTCTTGAAGGAACAGGGTTTTTTTTTATTTTGTCTCGTGTATGAATTGGTGGCTTCATTTAATGTATAGATTTTCGAGGAGTAACTATGTTGAAGGAAAAGAGCCAGTGCCTAAATGCTGAGTGTATACTCCAGCAGGTTTCCAAAGTGAACTTACCCGTGTAGCCAGCATCTTTTCCTGTTTTTAGAACCTTAACTAAATGGAATCACTCCATTTCTGTCTGGCTTCTTTCACAACACATTGGCTTTGAGATTCGTCACTGCTGTTGCTTGTAGCCGTAACACACTCGTCCCCCTTGTTCCGCGGTACCCCATCGTGTGCAGATACTGCCACTTTAGAGAGAGGTGTGCTTTACAGAGAGGTGCACTCCATGTTACCCGGCAATTCATCTGCGAGTTGATGCTTTGTAAACGTTCTACAAGTGTGCATATACACATGGAGAATAATGAGAGATGATTTCTTTTTTTTTTAATTTTTTTATTTATTCCTTCATTTATTTAAATTTTGACCAGAGAGAGACACGGAAAGAGAGAGAAGGAAAGTGAGAAAGGAAGCCACCAGGCCCGGGACTCGAACCGTAGTTGGCCATATGGGAGTTTCCAGTGCCTTAACCACCACGCCACCTGCTGGTCCCGAGAGATGATTTTTAATTATGAAAAACTAAAAGCAACTTCAATTTACTTACTTATTTATTTTTAGAATTTTGCCCAAGGACACATGTGCTCCCCAGAGACAGAAAGAGAGGAAAAGTGAGAAATCACTCTACATGGAGGATGGTCACCCACAATCCCTTCTCCTTTATGTCTCTGTCCTTTTAGGGTTTGGGGCACAGGCTTGAACCTGGTTTGTTTTCACGCTGCCAGGTCCAGGGCTTGAACCATACAGCCAGCCACAAGGGATCCAGTCACCTTAACATCATGCCGCCAGCTGGCCCACTGACTTAAATTTGTAACGATAGACAATCTGTCTAGATTATGTGTTGGGGGTGGGACAACAGGGGAAACAGAATTTCCTAATTAAAATGGTTTAGATAGAATAAATATCATTCCTTTGAGACCAGAAATAAATTTAATTTCTTTAAAAGTGAAATTTTAAGGTAAGAGATCATTTAGTTTTGGGGGTTTTTTTTGAGAGGTTTTTGCTATAGGGCATGTGTGCTTGCCAGAAAGACAAAGAGAGACAGACAGAAAGCAAGAAATCACCCCCCCCCCCCCCCCCGGGGGGATGGCCACACTGCAGTCCCTTCTCCATTCTCCGCTCAGGATCTTGGGCACGTATGCACACGCGCACAGCGTGAGTCTAAGCCACCAGGTCCAGGACTCGAACTGCGGTTGACTACATGGGAATCCAGAGACATAGCCATTACACTAACTGCTGGTCCCAGAGATCATTTAGTTTTCATAGACAACAAGAAAACAATAAACAGCATGATTTTGGATTATACTTCCAAAATATAAGCAATATCTATTTACTTCTCTTTTTTTTTGAATAATATTACTTCATTTTATTCATTGTCATTATTTAATTTTTTTTTTTTTTAAGTTGACCAGAGACAGAGAAAGCAAGCTGCCAGGTCTGGGACTAGAACCGTGGTCAGCCACATGGAAGCCCAGCCTCCTTAACCACCATACCACCTGCTGGCCCCATCTATTTACTTGTTTCTATGCACAAAAAGGCTATAAGAGGACATTATGAAAATAAACGCACGGATTTTAAATTTTTTGCACCAAAATAAACCTGTACCTTTTTTGAGAGGGAGATATTTTTGGCACAGAGTACGTGTGCTCGCGGAGTGATAGAGACAGAGAAAGAGAAAATGAAGAATCACCCCCGGGAGGATGGCCATCCTGCAGTCCCTTCCACTCCATTCTCCTCTCGGGATTTTGGGCATGCACACACATGTGATCGGTGTGATTTTCAAGCCACCAGGTCCAGGACTCGAACTGTGGTTGGCCACATGATAGTCCAGTGCTTTAACCACTCCTGCTGTGCCCAACAAACTGTACTTTAATTCCATTCTCCCACAAGCTTTTGAAAGTGCCCTCAAGCATTACCCCCATCGCGGGCCCACTCCACGGTCCTGCTTCTATTGAGAGAAGGCTCCCAACTGGCGTCCTGCTTTGTCACCCACCCATGCGCAAGCCGCCTTCCCTAGAGCAGCCGTGTGTGCTCGCTCAGATACGACATCAATCACGTTATTCTCACCTTGCTCTCCAACCATGGGGCCAGCTAGAGGTGTGGTAAAGGCTGCTAGATCCAACATAGCTAATTACACGGTTCAAGTCCCAGACCCCAACAGCTTGAAACACATGCAGGGTACATGTGCATGTGTGCCCAAGTCCCCAAGAGGAGAAATGAAGGAGAAGGGAGGACCAACAGTTGGCATGATGGCTATGTCACTGGACTCCCATGTAGTCAACCACAGTTCGAGTCGCAGACCCGGTGACTTAAACTGACTCCAGCTGCGTGTGCGTGCGTGCCCAAGATCCCGAGAGGAGAATGGAGGAGAAAGGATTGCAGCGTGGCCATCCCCCCTGGGGGGTGATTTCTCAATTTCTGTCTCTCTGTCTCTCTCTTTCTGGTGAGTGCATGCTCCCTACAGCAAAAACCTCTCTAAAAAAAAAAAAAATCTTAAAAAAGGAGGAGGAGAAGGGACTGTGGCATGGCCACTCCCCTGGAGGTGCCTTCTCACGTTCCCTCTCTGGCGAGTACATGCACCCTATAGCAGATTTTAGAAAAAACCCTAAATGAGCCAGTCTCTTCTTGTCCAAGCGACGTCCCCCATTCACACTCGTCACGCTGACATCCCTTTGGTGGGAATGCTTGTTCCCACCCATCGCGAGACAGTCTCATTTCCCGTGTATACCTAACCTTGGGTGCTCTCTTTCCGGAGTCCTGGTCACCCGTCCTCCATCACCTCTGAAACATCATTCGTCCCCTTTAGCCTTCAGAGAACTTACCCATCATCTAAAATTGTCTCCATTTACTTGTTACCTGTTTTCCCCCTTCTAGAATGTAAACGCCACGAACGCAGAGACCTCGTCTGTGTTCACCAGTGCCCACTCTGCGCCTGCCCAGTACAGGCACTTAATAAACAGCTGGTGTGTGGGTGTAGGAGTGTGAGTTACTGCTGTGCAAATCATTTACCTTGACTTCTCAATTTCTAGAAGCAACTTGGCAAATCCCAACCAGCGCCTAACATGTTAAATAAAAAGGAGGAAGTCCTTTTTATTTTGCTGACAGGACAGGGGAAATTTAGAGAACACAGGGAAATCTGTTAGACCGAAGGACTGCCTAAATATTATCCTGTTAATGTTGCAAAATCTTTGAAACTGATACAGTAATTCTCCCAGCCCCGTTTTTTTATTTTTAAAAATTATCTATTTAATTTTATTATTTTTCAACTTGACCAGAGAAAGACAGAGAGAGGGGAAAAAAGGGAGAATGAGAAAGCAAGCTGCTCGGTCTGGGACTCGAACCGCTGTCAGCCATGTGGGTGTCCAGTGCCTTAACCCCCTCGCCACCTGCTGGCCCCTGCCCCAGTTTCATCACCTGAACTGAACCAACCCATACTTTTTCACTGAGGTCGGGGCCAGCTGCTCCACTGGTGAATCGCAGAAACATGAAGTGGGATGGTCATACACCAAGAAAGGGAACTGGGGCACCCTCAGGGAGACAGAGTGAAGGCCTGGAGACTCTCAGCCTGTCTGGCTTGTGGTTTTGAGTCCCTGTACTTCCCAGCTCATGGCTTGGTGTTGTCTGTGCTTGTGCTTCTGAGAAACAGATGTGCAGAGCGTTGGCACGGTGGCAGGAGCCGTGACAGGCATCGTGGCTGGAGCCCTGCTGATCTTCCTCTTGGTGTGGCTGCTAATCCGAAAGAAAGGCAAAGAAAGATACGAGGAAGAAGAGAGACCCAACGAAATTCGGTACGCCTCCCCAAACCCACGTCTACTGACTTCCTTTCTAGAGCCCGCTCCATAGTGAACAGAAATAAAAAAGTCCGAGTTCCCTCAGAACCACGAATCTGCTAGCATATTGTTCTGGCGAGGGGGAGTTCCAGCCTGAGAGCCGAAGCTCTGGATTGCCCAGACTTCATCTGGAACTGTCCACCCTCAACAAAGTTCAACTCCACTTCGAATTCGCTCCCGCTTATAAGGAGCATAGAAGAATGGGTATAGCAGGGCTGGTGGTGGTGGTGGTGAAGGGCGCTGGACTCCCACACGGCCGACTGAGGGTGGAGTCCCAGACCTGGCAGCTTGCTTTCTCACTCTCTGTTTCTCTCTGGTCCAGTTAAAATAAATAAAATAAATAAATACATAAATAAATAAAGCTAAATACAATAATTCTTTAAAAAAAAAAGAAGAATGGGTATAGCATCTGGGCCATGAAAGGTTTAGGTAGACAGAGACTCACAATCTGGAGATTCTGAGATTCTCAAAAAATGGGTTATAGCCTTGGGACCAGCAGTTGGCATAATGGCTATGTTGCTGGACTCCCATATAGCCCCCCATGGTTCGAGTCCCAGCCCCGGTGGCTTAAAATCACGCCAGGCACGTGTGTGCGTGCCCAAGATCCCAAGAAGAGAAAGGAGGAGAAGGGATTGTGGTGTGGCCATCCCCCCCTGGGGGGTGATTTCTCGTTCTCTGTCTTCCTGGCAAGCGCACGCGCCCCGTAGGCAAAACCTCTCAAAAAACAAAACAAAACAAAAAACACCTTTCCTTTGCTGTCTTTCCTCCCCAGAGAAGACGCGGAGGCCCCGAAGGCCCGCCTGGTGAAGCCCAGCTCCTCCTCCTCGGGCTCGCGCAGCTCCCGCTCCGGGTCCTCCTCCACGCGCTCCACGGCCAACAGCCAGCGGACTCTGTCCACCGAGGCGGCGCCCCCGGCCCCTGCCCAGCAGCCCTGCAGCCGGCTGGGGCCCGAGGGGAGAGGCGCCGAGCCGAAGAGGGCGCACCACGCCACCTTGACCAAAGCCAGAGCCGCGCCCAGCGTGGTCCCCAGCCAGAGCAGAGCCTTCCAGACCGTCTGAGGCTGAGCGGACCCGATTCCCGCGCTCCCCGAGTCACTGGAGCTGTCGCCAGCCACACGCCCCCTACCCTCAACCAGAGAGGTCCCCTCAGTAGCACGGAGCTTTGCACGAACCAGCGGGAGAGCACCCTCTCTGGCGGCACCACCCACCAGGGGAAGGGGCGGACCGTCTCCGAGCAGGACCTCCCGTGCCTTCAGGCCCAGCGCGAAGGCCGGATCAAACCTGTTTGCTGAGAGGACCTGGGACGGGCTGGGGAAGGCGTGGTGAAATCCTCACTTCCCGCCTCAGGTGTTTTGTACTATGCTTTGAGTCATCGCTGTCAGGAAGAAATGAGGTGTTGCTCGTGTTTTCTATGCATTTCTGCAAACTTACTGGATACCGTGAGTTTTCAATGGTCAAGCAGAACCCACAGCCTTACTCTAACGTCTGCACCACACCCGGCTGCGGCTGCCCCTTCGAGGAACTCCAGAAAAGGAAACGGTCTCTTCCATGCCCACTTGACTGCCTGTCTTACAGTTTAGGTATTAATTTCAAGGGACGCTGAAATAGTGGGAGAGGGAGAAGAACGGATTTCTCCCACTCAACCTCATGCTTAAGTAGGAGTCCCCAAATAAGAGCTAAAAAGGGAGTCTAACAACGCAAAAAGGGATGGAGCGCAGCTTTCCACCCTGAGAGCACTCAGACTGCTGATGCACATCTGTCCCGACGCTGGACAGCTGAGGTCGCCCCTCCAATCCACCACGCTGAGGTTTCCCCGGTGGGTACCTCTGGAGGACGAAAATATTCACATGTCATTTAACACTGTCCTTAGAAAGACATCTTCTAGAAAAAAAGATTAGGGACACTAGAAGGTCACCTGACATACATTACAGTCTCTTTGTGAGGACAGGTGAGACCAGAGTTTCAAGCCTGGCGGGACTAGAAAGGGAGATTGGATCAGTTTTCTCTTCAGAGGTCCGGGAATGACGTAAGGAAGTCTAGGATGGAGCGAACTTGGAGCTTGCTTTCATTTTTAGAAGCACGTGAACATGGGACTTTCAGTGATCCTAGGCCTGGAATTATTAAGATGATCAGGGATCGCCACTGTTTCCTAAAGACATAGTAGGCCCCATAACTTACCTCCTGAGAGGCTGAAACAGAGAAATGCAGTATTTTCCCAGCCTCAGGCTCCAGGGGGGTCAAACTCTGGGCTGGGAGGACAGGGAACTGATATTCAGGGGAAAGACGGTGAGAATAACCAGCTGGTGGCAGGGGAGGGCTGGGCTAGTGCCCCTTCACGTTTCAGCTGTCAGCCTCTTGGGAGGGATTAGCAGATAGGATTAACCAGGGTAGCCCCTTCAAAAGGCCATGTGTGGAGAGGTGTCTGAGGAATAAAAAGCAGCAGCCTCAAATACAGTAACCTAGTTTTGAATCATCTTGGTAACTCTGATACCTACAGCACAAATGAAATAGCTCTTCAAGGAACCCAACACGAACACCAGCTTGATCACCATTGGTAGAGCAGAGTACGTATTACAAGGGGCAGCCAGTGGCATGGTGGTTAAAGCGCCCGGACCCTGCATGGTCAACCGTGTGGTTCAAATCCCAGACTCGGCAGCCTGAAAAACACAATGGGCGTCCATGTATGTGTGCCCCAGATCCCAACAGGAGAGACAGCGATGCCTCTGTGGCCTGGCCATCCCCATGGGGGCTGATTTCTCACTTTCTACCCACCCCATCCCCCAGGACCTGTGCCCTCTGGCAAAATTTTTTTTTAAAGTAGGCTGGACGAAAGACAAAATAATGTTGAATAAGGTGATGAAGGATTGCTTCTAAAATGAGAGTCAGATGTCTAAAAGGGAAAGGCTGATCGGGAATTCTGCACCTTTTTTTTTTTTTTTTTCCATTCCTCACCAGTGTCCCCATATGTGCAAATGCTTTTCCTTCTAAAGCCCTTCCCTAGGAGCTTATCCTTAGGTGGAAGATTTGAGTCTTCTTTTCAAAAAGTGGATAATAACAAACACTGAGCAAGCATCTCAAGAATGTCTGCTATTTATTGAAAAGGACTGACAATGGCAATGCTTTTTATACCAACACTGTCTCACTGTGAGAGAGAAAACCCTTTACTGGCTTACTCTCCGGGGATTGTGACATCGGGCAACCTATCATTTCTGCTATGCAGTTCCCAGAACCTCATTCCTAGAGAACATTCCTGAGCCAGCTAGGTGCAGTCTGTTCTTATCTACCTTTAAACCTGCCCCGGGGTATGCGGTGGACAGCAGGCATCAGCCCTCTCAGCATTCTTTAAAGATGCTAGTTGTCAGAAGACTGAAATGTCAACTAAATATCCCAATCGTTTTGGAAATAAATCCACTCACAATGAAAACCCGCAACAAATACAAAGGACAGATTACACTAAGCGCCAAGAAATGCAAACAGTGGAAGGGTCTGAGAGGTAAGGCGCTGAGATTTTAGTAGTGAGCGCACTCTGCTTTGAGTCAGGTGTTTGGGTTTAGAGATGATGGGTTCAGGATAAAACTGGAGTCACAAACCATTCTCTGCTGGCTTTACAGGTCAAATAAATGTGATCCTTTCACCTAATGCAAATAGGGGATAAGATAACCAAGTGGTATTAGAAAAGGGTTGTAGGAAGCAGATACAGGTGGTATAATGTGGATGTTTAGAGAGTAACCATTTCAATAAAATATATAAACCAAACTTCAATTTATGAAATAATGAAACTGATGCTTTTGCTATTATACTGTATAAAAACAATTTCAGAATTCATGTTGCAAAAGACACATGATTTTGCTTCATTTCTGGTGTTAAGCTGTTTATATTTCAATTTTAACTTCTAAGTTGCCTTGTAATTGGGACTGTGTTCGAATATCACAAAGACCAAATATTTATTATCGATGCTTCTGTATCAGCAATTAAAAAATAAAGAAGGTGGTACTGTCGGAGAGACGAAAGCGCACTGGAAATCTGTTTATCGGCTGCTGCCAAAAGAAACAGAGGAACGGAGCCTGAACGCGAGCTCTGTATTGGCTTCGGTCAGACACTCCGAGTACTTGTGAAGGGTAAGTAGACAGCAGATGTCAAGAGGTATGAGCTCCTGCCCTGGAGGCCTTGGGCGAAGTGAACAAGTAGTAACTGCTGAGCAAGCATGCGGGGTCCAGATTGAAGTGTCAACAGAAAAGCACACACTGAGGGGTTCGAGAAGGGCTGACAGACAGGTATGTATGGAGATTAAAATATATTTGCAAAAAAACCTCACAGAAGCCCACCACCCCGTCAGGCGTTTCCAAAAAGTTCAGGAAAGGCCAGCGGTACTGCATGCTGCTCTGAGGCACTCCCAGGTGGGACGGTTCCTGGTTCAAGTCCAAAGACCTACCCCAGTAAGCAGAGCGTATGCATGCCCCTGACCTGGGGCTGGCCAGAAGCTGGGAATGGGCTGAGGCACTGGAACCCTCTTTTTTTTTTTTTTGGAGAGGTTTTTGCTATAGGGCACGTGCACTCGCCAGACAGACAGAGACAGAGACAGAAAGCGAGAAATCACCCCCCAGGGGGATGCCATGCCGCAATCCCTTCTCTCGGGATCTTGGGCACGCACATGCACCCAGCGTGAGTTGTAAGCCACCGGGTCCGGGATGCGAACCGTGGTTGACTACATGGGAATCCAGCGACATAGCCATTACGCCAACTGCTGGTCCCACTGGAACCTTCTTAGGAGTGCTGTCTCTCTCTCTCTCGTGCTCTCTCACTCATGGAATAAACAAAAACATAAAAAAGCAGAAAAGATTCATGGAAAATGTGTTTCATAAACAAACTGCATGGATGGGACGAGCAGTTGGCGTAATGGCTATGTCACTGGGCTCCCATGTAGCTGACCGTGGTTCAATTCCTGGACCCGGTGGCTTAAACTCAATTTTGGGTGCATGTGCGTGCGTGCCCAAGATCACGAGAGGAAAATGGAGGAGAGGGAATTGCGGCATGGCCATCCCCCTTGGGGGTGATTTCTCACTTTCTGTCTCTGTCTTTCTGGTGAGCGCACGGCACCCTACAGCAAAAACCTCTCACCTCTCAAAAAAAAAAAAAAAAAAGCATGAATTTCAAAATATTTTGGTACCAAAATAAACTCGTTATTTCATTTTCCCACAAACTTTTTTTTTTTAGAGGTTTTTACTATAGGGTGCATTCGCTTGTCAGACAGACAGAGACAGAGACAGAAAGCGAGAAATCACCCCCCCGGGGAGGGGGCATGGCCATGCCACAATCCCTTCTCCTTCATTCTCCTCTCGGGATCTTGGGCACACATGCACATGCACCCTGCATGAGTTTAAGCCACCGGGTCCAGGACTCGAACTGCAGTCAACTACTTGGAAGTCCAGTGATGTAGCCATTATGCTAACTGCTGGTCCCCCCACAAACTTCTTGAAGTACCCTTATCTAGTAGGAATAGAGTTATCCTCACCTACTGAACTATTATGCTGACGTCTCCATCCAGTCACATCAGCCTGGTATGGTCACATTAGGAGCAAACAAACCAAGGCTTGGCGAGGCAAAGCCCACAGCAGGGTCAGGATTCCAACCCTTGCTCTGCTCGTAGACACGAGAACTCTCAGAGCCTGAGTAGTCGCCATGGCCACTCCTGGACCTCTTGAGCCCCATCCTAAACTGTGGATGTCCTCCTTTTCCCCTGCTTTCTTCTGTACCCTAAAGCTCTCACCCATGCTGGGACACACTTACTACAGTTAAGTCCACGCTTCAGTGTCCCCTGGTTCTGCACGTAAGGACAGCATCCCCACCCTCGTGACTGCCTGGGATGTTTTTCATGTGGTGAAGTAATGACAGGCTTGAAATTTGTATGTAATTCTTGTTGACTGTTAAGAACAGAACATCTTGAACACATCAAGGTGAAGAAATTTAATGTCAGGTCTTCGGAGAGACAAAAACTATAAGCTGCATTGAGTGGGTACAGCTGATGCTCCTAAAATGATAAGGGCGGGACCAGGAGGTGGCGTGGTTAAGGCAATGGACATTCTTACAGGCTGACCATGGTTCGAGTCCCAGGCCTGGTGGTTTGCTTTCTCACTTCCCCTCTGTCTCTCTGCGTCTCTGTCAGATAAATGAATGAATAAAATTAAATAATTCTTTAAAAAAATATATAAGGACCTATCAAAATGTGTACAGATCTCAACCACTTCTGGGTAGTCCTTGTAGAAGTAATTGTTTATAATAATTTGAGGCTGACTTCCTGTTTCTCTTGTTCTTTTTTTGTATCTTGTTTTTGTTGCCTTTGCTGTACAGAAAAGTTACAAAACAAGGAAATTCAGTTTTGCTACTTACTCCTGAGCAGCTCTGATGAGTTCAATTAGTAAAACATAAGGAGCACAATTTGTACAACACCTCCTCTCCACAGTACAGGGGCTAAAACGGGGTGACTTTTAAAAGGAATTTTTTTTTTTTGAGAGATTTTTGCTATAGGACATTTGTGCTTGCCAGAAAGACAGAGAGAGACAGAGACAGAAAGTGAGAAATCACCCCCAGGGGCGAGCCGCAATCCCTTCTCCTCTCTTATCCTCTCAGGATCTTGGGCACACACGCACACATGCCTGGCCTGAGTTTAAGCCTCCAGGTCCAGGACTCAAACGGTCCGCTACATGGGAGTCCAGCGACACCCTTAAATTCCCTTTAGGGGTCAGCAGTTGGCATAATGGCTGTGTGGCTGGACTCCTGCATGGTAGACAGAGGTTCAAGTCCTAGACTCAGAGGCTTGAACTCACACCAGGCTCATGGACCCCAAATTCTGAGAGAGTGGAGAAGGGACTGTGCTGTGGCCATCCCCCCAGGCGGTGATTTCTCAGTTTCTGTCTGTTCCTCTGGTGAGCACACATGCCCTATAGCAAAACTCTCTTAGAAGAAAAGGAATTTTAAAGTAAAAAGCAATCTAGCCTGAGTTAAAATCATAAACTGTGTAATGAAATATTTCTGATTTTGAAAAATTCAGGTTCAGCTAGGGATCATAAACAAATGACTTGATCTGAGCCTTAATTTCCTTATCTGAACCCAAAAAGATCTGCCAAAAAAACAGTTGTAGTGAGGATCACTTAGGAGATTATATGTTAAGGGTTTAGAATGTTGCTCTGCAAATAAGCCATTTAATAAAACGCCAACGGGGACCAGCAGGTGGTGTAGTGGTTAAGGCGTTGGACTCCCACATGATCAACCATGGTTCAAGTCCCAGTGGTTTGAAACTCAAGCTCAGCAGCACATGTGCATGAATGCTCAAAATCCCAAGACTAGAGAAGGTTCTGCGTTGTGGTCATATCCCCCACCCCACCCCCGCCAGGGGTGAGTTTTCACTTTCTACTTGTCTCTCTGGCAAGCGCAGGTGTCTTCTACAAAAATTTCTCAAAACCCCCAAAATATCACCAATGGAAAAAAACTCTAACACCAATGAACATTATTCTAGGGGCGAGGGTGACGTAAGACATGTAACCTGGTGGGGGGACAATATATAGGACACAAAGGCACTGGATATTTGAAGGTATGCTCTTCCCTAACTCCAGTAACATATCCGGTTGCAGTGAGAAAATATGAATAACAGCTTGAGTCATTCGTTTTCAAATTCCCGATGAAATGCAGTACACCAAGTCCCTGCGCAAGCAGAGCGTGCACTGCATCTTTTAGTCATGTCACTGGTTCCAAGAAAGGTTGCTTTTAAAATCTGAGATTTTGAAGATACATAAATTCATCATTCCTGTTTGATATTGAGTTAATTTTTAAAACTGCGTACTTATTAATGTGATACATGTAATAAAAAAAAAAATTGTGGGACCAGCGGGTAGCATGGTGGTTAAGGTGCTGGACACTCCCACATGGCTGACCACGGTTTGAGTCCTGGACCTGGCAGCTTGCTTTCTCACTCTTTCTTTCTGTCTCTCTCTGGTCAAATTAAAATAAATGAATGAATAAATAAAATTAAATAATTCTATTTTTAAAAAATTTTGCTAGAGGGCATGTGAGCTCACCAAAGACAAAAAATGAGAAAGCATCGCCCACAGGGGGTGGTCAGACCACAATCTCCTCTCTGTTTCTCCTTTTGGGCGTACACACACACGTATCCAGTGTGGTTTTCAAGCTACTAGGTCTGGGACTTGAACAGCGCTATGGGGCACTTGGGGTCCAGTTGCTTTAACTACCACACTATGGGCTAGCCCTGTACCGGGTAATACTGAGACAAATGATCCAATTAAATTGTAAACCGGAAATGTTTTGGAAAAAAAAGGTCAAAGGCTGATCAATTTGGCATTGCCATGTTACCTAATAGATTATGACAACTGAGATAATTTAGAAGTTTCTTCAGTGAACAGTACCTTAATAGTCTTTCAGTAATCACCAGTAATGATTCTGCAAAGCAATCAACCTGGAAAGCCTTGGCTGGCTGACTCTTACTCTGGAGTCCCTTCAGGTTGTTTCCCCCTCTCTGGCAGGCTCATAACCCTAACCAGTGGCTGAGACATGACTTCTTCCCCCGGACTGAATCCTACCTGCACCCACGCCACAACATAAATGGAGCCCACAGCCTGTTTCTCAATCTCACCTTTCTTATCACACTAGCTTTGAATGTTAAGGGAAAGGGGAGATTCTTAACATTTTATGGACTTCAGATAGCTGTGAGATTGCCTTGGGACCACACCCCATGGGGTGTACTTTCTCTGGCTGCTGTACAGGCATTCAGACAATCTAAAAAAAAAGACTCTAGTTCTTACAGACTTCAGAATTCCAGGAAATAAGGACTGTAAAGATAGCTGACCTTTTAGAGAGTTATTTCATTTAATCCTTAACAACTCTGCAGTTTTACAGAAAGAGAAACAAAGACATTATCTCCACCATCACTACTACATGGTTTGAATTTTAATTCAGATCTGGGTCCAAAGTCTTGCTCTTTCTACCCCACACTGCTACAGTAAGGGTAGGACGGAAAGATTGGTGTGGCCGAAATCCCAGACCAGGGCCCGCCCCACAGCCTTAAAGGTTAGGAGACTCCAGTCTAAGCTTCCCTTTACACCAAGGGCAGTGCCTGCCATGGCGGAAAAGCCAATGTTTTGGGGGGACAGACAGGACAGGCTGAGTTTAAATCCCACATTCCATGACCTGACTTCGTGTCCAGGTTACTTCTCCATATAAAGTGGGGGGCCAGTTTCTCAGGTTTGAGGTGACAATAAACGAGGTAACACGGGCGGAGCACTCAGCACTGTTCTCAGCATGTGCTGACACTCAAAACCTTCATCATATTTCTCGGAAGTCCTAGACCCCAACTGCTGTCCCCTGTCCCCGAACGTGGTTTGATGATCTCGGGCTGTCTGAGATCCCGGCCGTTTGAGGAGGAAGAGAGAGGACAGCCATCATGGTGGGACCTTTAAACGCACAGGCTCTCAGGCATCCCGCTTATTAGCGAACACTCTTAATGCCTAGCATCTGTTCTGCGTGACCAGGAACAGACTGTCATTCTCTAGTTGCTGCTGTGGAGTGGAATACCCCAAACCAGTGGTTTAGGCCTCAGTTCTAGTCCCCAGTAGCTCAATGACTCAAAACGCTGTGTGCAGTTCAGAGATGAATTACACCAGATGCAAAATGCAAAGTGCAGGGTTGAACTCATGCCTTGGTTAAACTAAGACTGCAGGCTCGAGTGTGAAAGCTGACTGCCAACACTACAGGAAACCCAAGTGGAGGCGCATGGCACGCTTCCTGAAATCGGACTTGTTTCTAGAAACTTCACTCGTGTTAAAAAAAAAAAATCGAATTAAACCCCAGGAGCTAGGCTTGACCCTAGCTTATTAGCCAGCTGTTGATCTTCCCACCCGAAACGTCCCTGAGCCCCGTTTTCGCCTACTGCAGGGACGAGTAACAGAGCGCAGAGAACCGCTACCGCGAGGGTAGCAAATGAAAGCACCGTGCATGGCCAAAGCACTGTATAAAGTCACCATCTTGCCTCGGGAAAGCGAACTATTAATAGTACACCTCCGCGGACTTCAAGCCAACACCCTCCCCTCCCCCTGAAACGCAAATATGAAAGAAAATTCTTCCCCGATGTCTCCGTCTGTCTCCAGGCTTTCCTGGCGTTGACAAGGACAAGGTGTCCTCACTCGCGACAGCCGTTTTCGCAGACAGCCCACATGCTAGCTCTGCCGCTCATTAGGGGACCCTTAAAAACCGCGGTGGCCTGGGTGCCCTTGCTGCTGACCGGAAGGATGCAGGGACAGCCGTGCAGACACCCAAGGGCCCGGACGGCCAGGCGCACGTGCTGGCTCCCCGCCACCGCCGCCTTTGCAAGGCGTCTCTGCGTGGTCGTGTGATTTCGGATGAAAGACACTAGCTCGCGTCACGGACAATGTAAAACCTCGTGGGGTCACAAATGACACATAGCTGCCGGAACCTGGGGACTCGCTTTCAAGCCTGACTTTCTTTTCTCTTTTTTTTAGTAACTAAGTAACTGGAAAGCATGGGGCTCGGCGAGCGGGAGAGGTTCGGGCCGAGAGACACCGACCGCTCCCAGAGGTGCAGGGCTCCGGCTCCGCCATTCATAGCGCCAAGGGGCCGTGTCTGAGCGTTTCGGAGAGGCCGCGTGCCTCGAACCTCTGCTGACGGCTGCTCCGGGCACTGCGCGAACGCGGAGACCCCGAGCCCGCGCACTCCAACCTAGGGACCCTGGAGCTGACTCCCCGCGCAGCGCGTGGGGCCGGCGGGGTCTCGAC